AAGGCAACTTAATACTCATAGAATTGTAAATTATGACAGTGAATTCGAATGTGACTTCAATTTCAAAAAAAAAAATTCACTGGTTCCAACATCACTGGTCTATAAGAAGGTTGGTGGCTTTTGAATGAAGCGCTACCGCAGTTTTAATTTTCATAAACCTTAATGCGGCAAAAACTTGTAACGATAATTTGTACTCTGCGATTTACAATTGTGAGAAATAAAGTTTTACAGGCAATTTTTATCTTGCAAATTCATTTTATTTGATTATATGTATAAAGTAGATATATATCTATATATCTCGGTAGAGACCCAACATAAGTTCGTCGAAATCCTACAATCAAAGCCACATTTTTTCTAAAAAAAAATAAACAAAAAATCTTAAAAATTAAAAAAAAAATTTAAAAAATTTTTTCGTTGTACATATACAGTATATAAAAAAAAAATCGTTTTTTTTATATAAAAAAAAAAAAAAAAAAAATTTAAAAAAAATTTAAATTCAATATTTAAAAAAAAAAAATTTAAAAAAATTTAATTCAAAAAAAAAAAAAAAAAAAAAAAAAGGAAAAATTTAAAGAAATTTAAATGATATATATATCATTTAAGATTTGGTCACTTTAATTTGTTTGATTGGGATAGGCATATCTTTGCCATCAACCTCTACAATCGCCGTATGATTGTTAGAGGCTAATCTTTTGAATATGCCCGTTTGAGAAAACATTGGTTGCAATTTTCTCCTTCGCGTTTGTGGATTTGTATCATAGTCAGGCGCAATGCTAACAGGAGTTCCAGGTTCGATTGTATTGTTAGCTGTTTTTTTTCGATGGACGCTTCCCTGTTGACATAGCTTCGTATAATACTTTCCTAAAGTAGCATTTACGGACTAAAAATAAAAAAATAAAGCATAACTAAAACTACTAAACTACCACTGCAATACTTTAACAAGGAACTCAGTGATCATCACATAACATGATCATGCAATTAGTAATTGGTTTCATTTGTTTACTACGGTAAACATTAAACAAATCGGCCTAAACATCACCTAACCCTAACACTAACCCTAACGCTAGCCCCAACACTAGCCCTAACTTAGACCGAGCACTTAATTATGCGATGTGATGATATCACTGGGTTCAATCCTAAACCTAACCTCTTGAATTCGCGATACTCGTAATATACGTTGCTGTATAATTTCCTCTGGATTATTTGTATCATCCTGAACGTCCTCATTTGTTTCCGAAGTGTCTACCTCTATTTCATTTGTTTCCGAATTGTCAATGTCTACCTCTATTTCATTGGTCTGCTCAGTGTCTACCTCTATTTCATTAGCCTGGTCAGTGTCTATCTCTATTTCATTAGTTTGGTCAGTGTCCGGCGTTTCGTACACACAGTGCATCTTCTATCCAAACATAACTTCGTGAGGCGTGTGTCTATGCGCTCTGTGAACCGTAGAGTTATAAGAGATAACAAATGCATCTATTACATTTATCCAATCCTTTTTTTGGAGTTGATTATCATTATCCCACAAAAGTTTTGTAAAACCGCGACCAATCGTTTGGTTAAGTTGTTCTATCTGTCCTTGGGACTGGGGATGGCGGGGGCGGCCATGCTTGATTCGGATATTGAGAGTTTCACAAACTTGTTTTACGATTCCTTCAAACTCCCTTCCATTATCGCTTTGAAGTACTTTTGGTGGGCCCAGGATTTTAAAAACATCTTTAACAAGATGTGCAGCAACAGTACCCGCTTCTTTGTTTTTTATAGGAACTGCAATAAGATACTTTGAAAAAATACAAACACAAGTAAGTAATCACGCAAACCCATAATTAATGGTTGCAAAGTCGTGAAAATCAACTAAGTCTATTTGAACGTGCTGCCACGGTGCCATAGATATAACCGACTTCATATCGGTTTTTTCTTTAATAGAGGAATTAATAGTGCAAACTGAGCATTTGTTAACATATTCCTGCACTTCCACTTGCGTAATACCAATATGTTTTTCTGAAAGTGCAGAATATGTTGGATGATAGTAGCGATGATTAGATTGATCATGAAATTTTTTTAATAACAAATCACATAGTTCAACATCGTATTTAGGAACTACACGACGTATGTCAGAGATAACTTCGCCATTTTTAACTATAGCAGAAAGATAAAGAACACCGTTTTCATCTAACTCGAACTTTTTGCACCGACGTTCAAAATTAGACTTCGCACTAGGACCATGAATATTTTCTGGTATTTTCTTGGATTGAAGATAATTAACAATATCTTGATATTCATTTGGTGTACCGGGAAGCTTTGGAACTGCTAGCATAGTTGAAAACTAAAAAAAAAAAAAACAACTTACATAAACTACTATTTATACAATTTTTTTTTCAAATGATCAGCACCAATCAGATTTCATCAAAACAATGCACATGATTTTACATTTGGCGACACATTAGCGATATATTAGTGTTAGGGTTTACATTGAATTAGCGATGTATGTGGCGATACATTAGAGTTAACAATGTATTTGGCGACACATTAGGGTTAGCGATAGGGGTTAGCGATAGGGTTAGCGATGGGTTTAGGGTTAGATATTTTAAGAGTTGGGTAGTTAATACCAAATTTTGATAGTAAGGATCTCGAAAAAATAATAAACACTAACCTCTAATATTATTCACTTCATATTTTTTGATCATGTTCACGATTCTAATTTTTTTTTTTTTTTTTAAATGAAGATGTTGCATTCGGATTCACTGTTATAATTTACGATTCTAATTTACAATCTAAGTATTAAACTTGATAAAGAAACTAACCTTTTTTTATATATCAGTGATACTAGTGATCAATGATGTTGGAACCAGTATAGAATCGCGAAGCTCGGAGCCCACTACCCCTTTTTTTTTTTTTAAAAAAAAAAAAAAAAAAAAGGAAATCACATTCGAATTCACTATTATAAAAAATTTACATTTTATAAGTATTAAGTTGCCTTTATAGGACTCAAAATTATGAAAGCCATAAAGCCACTAACCTTCTTTGTAGACCAGTAGACAGTGATGTTGAAACCAGTGAAATTGTAGGCGAAGCAGACAAAAGACTTCGATATTTCTAGTCGCATTTAATAGTCCTAGTATAGAATCGCGAGGTTTACAAAGCCCACAACTTTTTTTTTTTTTTTTTGAGAGTATCGCATACGAATTCACTGTCATAATTTAAGATTCTATGAGTATTAAGCTTGCCTTTATAGAACTCAAAACTATAAAGACTATAAAATCCACTAACCTTTTTTTATAGACAAGTAATGTTGGAATCAGTGAAGTATTGAAATTGCAGGTAAAATATTTCTAGTCACATTTCATAAACCAAACAGTATAGAATCGCAAAGTTCACAGCGCACTAATCTTTTTTTTTTTAGATGATGTTGCATTCGAATTCACTACTACAATTTACAATTCTATGAGTATTAAAACGTACTTTTATAGAATTCAAAAACTATGAAGCTATTAACCTTCTTTTTTTTTTTTTTTTATAGATCAACGACTAGTGATGTTAGAACCAATGAAGCATTAAAATTGCAGGCAAAGCAGACAGAGTATAAGACCAATCCACTAACCTTTTTTTTTTTTTTTTGAAATAAGTCACATTCGAATTCACTGTCATAGTTTATAATTTCATGAATATTAAGCTTGCCTTTATATGATTCAAAACTATAAAGGCTATAAAAGCTACTAACCTTTTTTTATAATAGGTCAACGACCAGTGATGTTGGAACCGGTGAAGTATTAAAGTTGTAGGCAAGCAGACAGAGTATAAGACTTCAGTATTTCTAGTCGAATTTCATAGCCCCAGTATAGAATCTGGAGTCACAAAGTTCACAGAACTCACTTCTTTTTTTTTTTTTCTTGAAATGAAAGAATTTACTGTCATTGTTTACAATTCCGTGAGTATTAAGCTTACTTTTATAGAACTCAACCTATGAAGGCTATAAAAGCAACTAACCTTTTTTTATAGACCAATGACCAGTGGTGTTAAAACCAGAGAATATTAAAATTGCAGGCAAAGTAGATGAAGTAAGACTTCAATATTCAAGTCGAATTTATAGCCCAGTACAAAGTCGCGAAATTTACGGAGCCCACTAACCTTTGTTTTTTTTTTTTTTTGAGATGACTGTCATAGTTTACAATTCCATGAGTATTAAGATTGCTTTTAAAGAACTCAGAGAACTCAAAAAACTACGAAAGTCATAAAATCACTGACCTTTTTTATAGTGATAAACCAGTAAAGTATTGAAATTACAGGCAAAGCAAATAGTGTAAAGCCATAATCCGTATAGAGTTGCGAAGTTAACGGAGCCTACTAGCCTTTTTTTTTTAAAAAAAAAAAAAAAAAAGAAGCCATATTCGCCTTTTTATAGACCAGCGACCTGTGATATTAAAATCAGTGAAGTATTGAAATTGCAGGTAAAGCAAGCAGAATATAATATTCTAATATTTCCAGTCGCCTTTTATAACCCAGTATAGAATCACGAAATTAACAGAACTCACTAACCTTTTTTTTTTTTCTTACATATAACCCAGACAATTTTCCTTTTCTTTCGGAAGTAATAGCTATACAATGTCGCATTTCTAAAGTAGGTATGTACTGTACATACTGTACGTACGTACCAAGGTGCCCACAACAGACAAGGTTTCAAGGTATTTATATACGAGATCGCTAAGCTGCATGTGCATTTAGACTTTAGCCGTAATGCTAGATTGACGCACCTCATTTGACAAGTTGGACAAGTTGACGCACCTCATTTGACAAGTTGACATACCGAGAACAAATGATCATCGGATGATCACGTGTATTTCAACATCAGCCGTTTTCAGCATCAGCTGCGACAATTATTTACCAGATGTTCTAAATTTATAAGAACAGCTGTAAATAATTATTGTTACAGTACTGTAGCCTTCTTAATAGCAGTATTATAACAATGACACAGCTACAGGGATCCTTCACAGGTTTATAGTGGTGTTCAACAGGTAAGTATAATTTCTGCTTCTTGGAGAAACTATATCCTTCTGTCTGTGGCAGTTTGGGTAGACAATAGTTTATAGATAAAATATAGGCTTATTAAAGATAAATAAGATAGGCTATTTTTAGGTTTCTATTCTTAAAGAATCTTACAATATTACAAAAGAGAATTTAGAGAAGAGGGAAGTAGAGTAAACAATAACAAGTCTGTTATTATTTTAGGTCTAATATTAACTTGAGGAAATTTATAGTCTTTTTATATCTTTAGAGCTAATTACTAATCGTTGCAGCTAAGTGTAATTTACTTAGTGCTAAGTGCTAATTGTAATCGCTAATTGTTAAGTATTAAGTATTAATTGCTAATCACTAATCACTAAGCATAATTGCTAATTACTCTAAGTGTAATTGCTAATTGCTAATTGCTCTAATTGCTAATTGCTCTAAGCATAATTGCTAATTGCTCTAAGCATAATTGCTAATTGCTAATTGCTAATTGCTAATTGCTAATTATTAATCACTAATCGCTAATCGCTAAGCGTAATTGCTAATCGCTAATTACTAAGTATAATCATTAATTGCTATAGATTCTTTTAAATTTTTCTCTAAGATAAATATAATAATAACTAATAATTAATAAAATACAAATATCGAAATAATAAAATAATACTAAAATAAAATAATAAACTAATAAAATAAAACTGTTCTATAATATTTTCATCACCTTATAAAAATTTGCTCTGCAAATTCCTAATTAAAGACTGATACTCTCTATCAGTAAACTTAACAATGTGGGTGACAGTAAAGTATCGAGTTTGGTATAACAATTCTTTAAATCGAATACTAAAGATTTGTTGAAGACGAGTGGCTTCTTTTCAAATGTCTTGAGTCTTTCGAGAGCTTTGAGAAGTCTGAAGAAGTTCATTAATTTATTGTCGTTCGTTAGTCAGTTTCTGGATAAGAATTTCTAAGTACAGATAAGCTTCAATAATTTTTATCTGCTTAGGTCGAGTGCATTCTTTGTCTTCTAGTTGTAGTATCTTGGTTAGTTGGTTTTTTCAAATTCTACTGATAAAAGAATTTGAGTGAGTGTTTGATCAAGGAGTTAGAGCCTGGATTAGTTTGTCTTGAACTTTCTGGTAAACTTCAGTATCTGGTTTAGTTTCTGATTCAGAAAGAGTAGTGGTTAGGGTTAAGTTAATTTTTGGTTCTTTAGTTAGAAAAGTATCCAAAAGAATATCATGTATTAATAGGTTCGGATAGAAGGTCTACTGCAGTATTCACTAGTGTAGTGATATCATTAGTATCATTAGAGTTATTAGGGTTTTACAAGAAAATATTTTGAGAACAAATTTTTAAGTTATTTTGAGCAGCGGGATCTTGTCTTCAAATAGTAAAGAAGTATTGAAGGATTTGAATAGTTACAGATTGCAAGATGGTATTGTGCATTATTAATTGTGTATAAATTAGGGAATTTCTGAATAAAAAGTCTATTTATAATTTTTAAAGTTGTATGATTGTCTGTTTCACAAAATTTGTCTTTGTCTCTCCCCATTTAATAAAATTTCATTCAGAAATTAAGAATTTTTGATAACTATAATTGGTTTCCATGTCTGTTTCTTATACTAAACAGTCACTATTATAGTACTTCTGTAAAACTTTTCCTTCTAATATTCGCAGTTTATATGTGTCATTATTCATCTTAGCTTGAATAATGAAAGATCCTTCTTTTTTGTCTTTAAATTTAGCTGATCTTGACTTTTCTAAAGCTTTTAATTGTATCCAAACTTTTTCACTAATTTCAAATTCTTCTGGTCTGATTCTAGCATCAAAATATTCTTTCTGTTTTTGTTGTGACTTCTTGGTATTTATTCAAGCTTCTTCTTGTATTGGGGCCATTCTTTCCATTAGTTCATAGGCACATTATAATATACTATCCTGAAGGTCGATTTTTACATTAGGATCTGGCATAGGTTCAGTAGGGATAATAGTTTCGATAGATATAGTAGCTTGTCTACTTTACACTAGTCGAAAAGATGTATAACTAGTAGTAGTATGTCTCTTAGTTTGATAGGCTAAGAGAATAGCAGATATATAGGAGGATATTAGTAGAAACCAAGCAATTTGTTTCTAAGAAAATTTTTTTAAACTTTGAACTAAAATTTCTCAACAACTACTAAACCAAATGTGATAAAATTTTTTTATTTTAATTCTATATAGTTATAGAATTAAAATAAAAAAATTTTTATCAAGTTTGGTTTAATAGTTGTTGAGATATTTTAATTTAAAATTTTAAAAAAACTTACTAAAAACAAATTACTTGGTTTCTACTGGCACCCCCATATATATATCCTATTCATCAGTTCCTTTAACCTTCGCAAATAATTCACAAAGTGTTCTGTTAAGACATTTAACCATTTCATTTGTTTGTGGGTAATATAGTGAAGAGAACCTGTACTTAATAAGGAACTTTTTATATAATATTCAGATAGTTTTACTAATGAAGTTTCTTTTTTGATCTGATAGAATTATCTTGGGAGTTCCATGTCTACAGATAATTTCTTCAAAGATAAACTTTGCTAAAGTGTCCACTTCGATGTCTAGTACAGCTTGGGCTTCTGGCCATCAGGTTAAATAGTCTGTTGCTACTATAATATAGCAATTGTTCTGTTCAGTTATAGGTAGA